CAGTTTGACTTGTTTCCAATTATTAATCTGCAACACTATGGGATCATTTTATTTTACTGTACATTTGCTTGCAACTGGTTTTAGAAGTATTGCTTGTTTCCAATTTATGTCGTTTTTTGATCTTTTATGCATAGTTTTAGAAGTATTGCTTGACAAAAGAGTGTGTAGAGATTTTAGGGCTATGTCTAGAAAATCATGTCAATCCAACAATATTCATGTTCTTCAGTTTATGCAAATTCTATTTGATCTTCACAATCTTGTTTAAAGAAGAATCTAGCTAAATATGACAGGATTACAACCTCTTCAGATTACAACCTTGTCAGATTGTCATGGCCAAATATGACAAACTTGAAGATTGTTGCATTAATCATAATGTACCAGCAACTGAATGTACTTATCTTTATCTTTGGCTCCATCTTTTAGAAGATTGGCACCAATATGTAATTACTGTACTTATCTTTATCTTTGGCTCCTTAATCCTAATCTACCAGCAACTGAAGTTTTGGTGCCTTATGATGCAGGGGAGATTCTAATACTCTTAGAATGGTCATTGGAGCCAACTGTTTCAATTGAGAGAACAATTTTCTACTGAATGCAGGAGTACTCTGCAATGCCATATGCCATTGCTCAGCTAAGAAAAGAGTAAAATAGAAGAGCTATAACCAAACACAGTGGTAGCTAAAGTACATAAGAATGTCATTGGTTTCTTCGGGTATCTTAAGCCTTGTGCATTGCTTCAGGTTGTCATGGCAAAAAATTAACTGAATTAGCATTAGTTAAAGAGTTAACTGAATTTTGCAGATTGTCATGGCCAAACACTTCAGGTTGTATCTTAAGCCTTCGCTAAAAAGTTAACTGAATTTTGCAGATTCTGCTGGCCAAAAATTTAGTTAACTGCCTCTTTTTTGCAAATTCTGCTGGCCAATAATTTGCATGTTCATGGACTGACATGAACATGTAACGTAGGAGGAGGATCAACATCAAACTACTCACATTAAACTGAATTTTTCCAAATTAACAGTCAACTGAATTTTTTTCCAACATCTAACTACTCACATGAACATGTAATGTAGGAGGAGGATCAACATCAAACTACTCAAAGTTAACTTCTGCTTAGCCAATAATTTTGATCACTGAACACTTCAATTACTCAGCACATAAACTGATTTTTTCCAAATTAAGAGTTAACTGAATTCATCAATTTTACTTTGCACATTTTCTCACCGGCAGCCCTGTACTTCTTCTCGCAGTGCTTGCAGAGGAGATAATGCGAGCAAGGTACTGGAGATGAACAAGCAAGGAGCCATGTACTTGTTCTCACCGGCAGCAGCACGATAAGGGGACCTCCGGCGGCAGCACACGAGCAGGAGAGCTCCGAACGGCAGCACGAGCAGGGGAGGAGCAGCAGAGGGAGATCGAGCTTGAGGTCCAGGCCTGCACGAGTGCTTGAGTTCCAGGCCCGCGGGAGAGCTTGAGGTCCAGGACGAGCTTGAGGGGATATCGGTGGCGCAGGCCTGGCGGTGGCGGCGGAGCAGGTCCTGGGTGGCGGAGGAGCACGGCCTGGGCGGAGGAGCAAGCAATTGGGCGGCCTGGGCGGCGGAGGATCAAGCCCCGGGTGGCGCCGGAGCAAGCAATTGGGCGGCGCGGCTCCTACGCGACGACGGGCACTGGCGGTGGCGGCGGTGCAGGTCCTAGGTGG